GGCGGATTTGCATACCCCTATTCATCCCCCTCTTTTACTTTCCTGGGATCAATGTATTATGTTGTAGTGCAGTGTTCCTATTACGTAATCTGTACTTGCATAACCCGTTTTGTAATTAGCCTTTATTACACGACTCAGGCAGTCAGAGGGCCAATAACTAAAATCAACCAATCAAAATGCTCTTTTGCCGGTCAATATTCTCTCAGTATTGCACCGGGCACTGTCCAGAATGGTCCCGAATGATACCGCACTTGTGTCCCTTTGAACTTCAGTCGTATAATAAATCTCTTATTAACCAAGCTTGCTCGGGACCGTACCGGAAGAATACCGCCCTCGGTATTTTTTGTACGGACCTCGCTGCGCTCGGTCCGCACTGTCAAGACCTCAGGCCGATCTTCTCCCAGTTCGGCCCTCGCGCTTGGTAATTAAGATATCTTTATCCAATATAGTTTTCTTTCCTTTTTCTGTCACCTTGCACCTTGCGTCCACATATATTTAAGACTTTTGGGTGGTTATGGTGGGAGAGGTTTTATTAGTTTTGAGCGAAGGGCTTTGGGGACTTGAAAGGAACAGAGACTCGTTCAAGATCAGAGCACATTATCATCTCTGAAAAGTCATTCAGAAAACCGTTCTATTTCACGACAAATAATCCATTTGCCGGGGAACGTATGTGCACAGAGGAGCTGTCAGATAGTAAGCTGACGAAGAAGTGATGATAACTGAATTAAGAAGAAAAGTCCGAACGAAGGTCAAATTACGAGAAGTTGTCTGAGCGAAGAGGGAAGTACACAGTTGGAAACTGGTGAAACGGGAGGTTGGTTTGTGCAGGGTTAATCTATCAACTCTGGTTTGTGAAACGGAAATTTGGTTTGTCAGTACGTAGTTTGTTGGTGGAGCTTGGGAGAGTTGAGGACAAGTCAAGGCCACGGACGCAAGGCGAACTGAAGAAATCAAATTAGGTTCGCGGCCTAAACACAACGGAATAGCTGGCCTGTACTACCCATTCTAAAAGGTCACTCTACTCACCTACAATCCTTAGATTTTAGAGGTGATTTACCCAAGATTTACGAGAAGGGCACCTTAGCCTGTGCAGCCGGCTACAACAGGGAGGGATTAGGGAAAATTACATTGAAGTACTTCATGCACTGAAAAGGCGCAAAGAGTGATTCTTTAGGTCTGATCCTTATTATCGTGAGCCATGTTCTGGTTTATTCCCCCTCCTCCCTCAACCCATAAGCAGTAACTTCAAATACAAAAATCATGAGGCTCAAGCCATTTAAGGCAAAATTACACTCTACTTCAAGGCCAATCCAATGTGATTTTCATTTGAATAGGCTCAACCTTCCAAGTTATTAGGGGTTGACATTATGAATTTTAGGCAAAGCGAGTGAAGCTTTAGTGTTGTACCCAGTTACCAAAAGAGGTGATATTAGGGACCTTAAGCAGTCAGGACGGCAACGCCAAGGAAGACTCCGATTAAAAAATGAACTTCTACTCTTAGTTAGAATTTCGAACATGGCTGCAGGAGCTTACTGTCTCATATGGCGCCACAGCTAAACTTAAGCGTGACGTATAAAAGTAGCGTTGAGTTCCAAATAAAAATTAAATAATTTGCCGTCGCGGTTTCGGTTCGCAAACGACGCAGATTTTGGCGATTTCACGTTGTTTTGCATAGGACAACTAAGGAATGTACAAAGTTTCAAAACGCACGTGCTGAGCTATTGTTCTGCGAATTAGATCTCTTGTTTTTCCACGTCCTTGTTGCCGTCGCCGTCGTGGTTGCTTAAGGTCCCTATTTTTCCTTCCCAAAAAAAGAAGCACAAATCAAATGTGAAAAGTTTGAGTTGCCAACTTTTATTCATGTAATTTACACCAACAAGCTCAGAATTTCATTGAATGAGGGTACTGTCCCTTTCGGAGGGAAAACAAGGTTTTCAGGTACTTCTTTAGATGTGCCTCTTTCGAGATCTCTGGGAGGATTTGCTCATCAACCGTCTTTTGGTCCTCAATGCGCTCTTCACTTGGTTTCCTCTCCTTTATTAAAAGACAAATAAACATGAACAAAAATACTCATAGATGAACTTATTGTTTGGTAAAAAGGCAGAAAACACACCAAGTGTGCCAGTGAGTGTAAAACACACTCTTAGATGAAAGTCACCTTCAGGCATCAAAGCGACAACTCTCCTAATATAATTTACCATCGTCATTATGACCCAAGTGTGTGAGTGAGTGAGGGATATATTTGCCAATCAAGTCATTGCATTAACTCATCCTCTATGCCTCACATATGCAACAAGTTACAAATTGGACAACATAGGGGTGCAAAGAAATAACATATGTTGGAAGGCTTGCTATTGCTAAACAAATCCTTGTCAAATTCAGAATTTCGGAAAAAAAACTTCGGAAAAAAAAAAGAAGTAGCTCACTACATGAACAGAGTTAATAGATTTGTTGTTTCATTATGGTGATGTATGTTAAAGGAAAGGTTTATCTTTTGTCTCTGTAAACAGAGTCACAATCAGTCATAGTTCAAGATGTTTTGAGTGCTACAGTCTTAACCCCTTGAACCCTAAAAGTGACTAGCTGTCACGTATTCTCCTAGTCAACACCTTAGCAAATGTAAAGAGAAAAGTTTGAAGAATATGCGTAACAACGTTAGAGGTCAAACACAACGAATTTATGAAATTCATATCCCTGAACTGTGGTTATAGAAACGTATCTGTGCACAATCCTCACAGTAAAGAGCACTATTTAAGCAATAGTGAAAATCAG